TAGTATGGACAACAAATGGGCATACCCTTACTACAGCTCTGAACCTCTGAGCTCAATATGTACAACTGTTTCAGCCTCCCTTAGCAGTAGGGATTAGAGATATGTTATTACATATCTCTGCCCAACAATTATAAGTTTTGAACTATCAATTCCAAAACAATACCCTGCTCCTCTCCAAATCAACTATAAGGACTTCTCTCTTGAAATAATTTGGGCAGTGATCAAACAAGAACAAGGACAGAAGGCCCTCTTATTGATCCACCTAAAGGTCTCTATCAACTAATATCCAGACTATTGCAACAGCCTGCTGGTGAGTCTGCCTGCATCAAATTTCTCCCTACTCTACTCCATCTACCATTTCAGCTTCCAAGTAATTTTCTTAAAGTGAAGGCCCTACCATGTCACACCCTTATTCAATAAACTCCAGTGGCTCCCAATTGCCTCCAGGATCAAATACAAAATCCTGTTTGGCATTCAAAATCCCTTCCTACCTCTCCAGGCTTCTTATACTTTACTCCCGACCATGTACTTTTCTGAATAGTGATAGTGGCCTTCTTGCTGTCCCCCAAAAAAAGAAACTCCATCTCTTGGCTCCCAGCATTTTCTCTGGTTGTCTCCCATGCTTGGAATCCTCTCCTTCCTCTTTGCCTATTGACATCCCAAGCTTCCTTAAGTCTCAACTAAAATCCCTGAGAAAGGAGAAACCTTTCTCAGTTCAGTTCAGCTGTGTTTCAGTTGTGTCCCATTAGAGTTTTCTTATCAAAGATACTGAAGTGGTTTACCATTTCCTTCTCCAGCCCATTTTACTGATGAGGAAACTGAGGTAAACAGCATTATATAACTTGCCCAGGGTAACACAGCTAGTAAGTGTCTGAGGCCAGATTTGAACTTAGGAAGAAGAGTGTTCTGACTCCAGGACCAGTGCTCTATTCACTGCACAACCTAGCTACCTGCTGCCTATTTCAAACCCTCTTAATTCTAATGCCCCCTCTCTCTTATTTGCTCTCTATTTATCCTGAATATAGCTTGTTTGTACAAGCTCTCCCATTAGATTGTAAACTCCTTGATGGCAAGGACTGTCTTTTGCCTCTTTTTTGCATCTCCAGGGCTTAGCACAGTACCTGGCACATTATAGGTACTTAATAAATGTTGAATGACTGACTAGAATGACTGAAGAGATTAGAGCTATGATTTATCTAAGGGCAGTACCATCTTTCCCATTTCCTAAAGGGATTAGGGTACTGAACAGAGAAAGGATACTCTTTTGAGGAGGATGCTCAGGTCACCTGTAGTCAGTTGAGGAACAGCCTTTGAGAGGAATAGTCAAAATGAGATTGAATGGTCTTGGAGACTAAAGTTTAATGTTTTTACTGAACAGTGTCATTTTCTTTGGTCAAGATTCCTAAAAATCAGAGGTCATTAATGGTGTTTTGTGTCAGTCTGGTGAAGTCTATCAACACCTCAGAATAACAGTTTTAAATGAATAAAATAAATTACATGAGATTATGAAGAGAATCAATTATTTAAAATACAATAAACTATTTTAAAAGGTCATGAATTCCTGTTATAAAAGTTTTTGTTTTTGTTTTTCTTGTAAGAACCCTTGTAATGAAAGTTACTTCAAAAGGTCTTGTGTGAGAAATATTTGAGTGCTTGAAGGGACTATGTCAGTTTGAATATTTCTCTCTCCAGAGAATAATCTGTAGATTAAAATAATGAAATAAAAAATGAAAAAAAATAAAAAAGTTCTGGCAGGACTATGGTTAAAATGTAAAAGAGCATGTTAATATTTTTCTTGGACAATAATAAAGGCATCGATAACTACTTACAAAATTTTGGCTACTTGGAAGTTCACAGCCAAAGTCACCTCACACCCTTTAAAACTGAAGATGACTCTTCTTCACTCCAAATAAACACATTACAATTTAGTTCAGTTCAGATACTGATTTTAAGTTTTTCAAGAATCACTGTCATACTTCTCGGTCTCTCAGGAAATATGTTATATTAGTCCTTAATCTTTGTACTGTCTTCAGCTTTCACGGGAAACATCCTGAGTCAAGTTTTTCTCAAACTAATCTTTTTAATAGTCTCTTGAAAATTCTCTTTAGAAGACCGTGAAAAGATATTTAACAGAAAAGATCTCTCCATCTCCTTTCTCTGTCTTCTTCACAGATATATTCTCATAGAACATCATAAATAAAATTAACCCCCTTACTTTTCCTTACTGCATCGAAAAAATATCTCCCAACAAGATATTTTCAATGACAATACAAATTGCTATTCTTCCAGTGGCAAGGCCAAATTAGAAATAGGTGTTACAGAAGTTTAAAATAAAGCAAAACAAACAAAACAAAAATGCTGAGGCCCATAGGGATGAAATGATTTGCCTAAGTTCATGTGCCAAGTTGGCAGAATAACTGCTTTTAAAATCCGTGTTGCCTTAACCCCAGTAAAAGGCTAGCTCTACTATCATCTCCATTTTATAGATGATGACATTGAGTCCACAGAAAATTAAGTGACTTAGCTAACATTACAAAAAGTAAATGACAGAGGCGAAATTCAATCTTCAACTTTCTATGGTTTTTTCCTGTTCCTCACTATCCCCTTAAATGTGTTTAAAAATGAAAGTCCTGAAAGATGTATAAAGGTAATTTTTTTAGAAAGCCAGCTATATCTTTTAAAACTGGTATAGATTTTTTAGCACATGCATCATTTGTTCTTAGATTATAACTCTGTTATTGGCTTCCTTTGTCCATGGAAGCAAGTTATTTTCTGCATCTTTTTTTTTTCACAGCCATTATGAAGAAAAACTACATTAGTGTAAATATTTCATAACATTGGTACAGGGAAGACATAGGATATGCCCAGGTTCTTTCAGGTTTTTACTGCATATTATAGTTATGGTTCAGTTTGTGGAACATGATTAAGCTAGTGATTTATTGAAATCCTTGTAATACTCAGAAAATTTATAGCAATCATCACATTATTTTTATCAGGCTCTTTTTGAAATAAAAATGCAAAGTATTCAGAGGAAGGGCACTTGGGCTCTTTTTAGGCTCTGTGACTATCTGTGTGGACTCTGAAAGGTCATTTAAAAATAACAACTGATTTATAGAGTGTTTTACAGTTTACAAATACTCCTAATTCTATGAAGTAGATAGTCTAAATATTGATCTCCATTATACAGGTGAGAGAACTAAGACTTAGAGATATTAAATGACTTCCTCAAAGACAAATAAGACTAGTCAGGTTTTATGACTCCAAGTTCTGGGCCCTTTACAATATAACATGCTGTTTACTTTTCTTTCTTTCTTTCTTTTTTAAATCTCTCTGAGAATCAGTTTCCTTTTCCATAAAATAGTGAGCATGTTAGGAATTAGTTCTCTGCTGTTAATTTATCAGGTTGTTCCCTCATTAGACTTTTTGGTGTCTTATTTTGGCAAGAAAGCTGTAACTACTATACCTCTTGCACATAGTTCTTTATGTTAGAGAATTTTTAAGACTGTATGGGGATTGGAGAAAATGTCATCTTCCACATCTTTGGTCACATGAATCACAAATCTCATTAAATCAAACATGAACAATTATGTTTAGAAATTTGCATCAACTACTATTTGAATGTTACCATGGATGTGGGTATCATGAAAACTTAAAAGCTCTCCTGATGCCTTTTCACAGGAAGGGATAAGTAATGGGTAATAGAAGTAAAATGGACAATTGCCACCATTCTTTATATATATAGTATAAATCTTAAGGCATACCTTTATTTCCAGGGAGGGGATTGCCTAGTGGGAGAAAAATTGTCCCCTGAGAATTCTTAGAGTAAGCATTACTCTTGATATCAAAGGTCTTAGCCAGAGGCAGCTAAGTGGCACAGTTTCCTAATCTGTAAATTGGGGATAGTAACAGTACCTACTTCAAAAGGTTATTATAAGAATAAAGTAAGATATGTAAAGCACTTCACAAACCTTAAAGTACTATATAAATATCATCATTATCATCACAATCATTAACATTGTGTTCTATCAAGTACTAAAATTGTATGTTTTTATATCTTGTTTTCTCAGCTTGGTTACCCTCCATCATCTGACCCTCATCTCCCCCTGAAACTAACTGGTTGCTCCAACCAAGTTGTCTAGTCTAAAAACTACCAGGTATGAAATAAAACCTTCACTTTGCAGGGCATTCTTTGATTGTCTGATTTGTCAAGAAAAGGAATCATTTGTTACATTTACCTCAGAAGAAATGTAATTAGGACACACTTTCTAGGATAGTTTCTTATCCATTTTCCTTTTTCGTTGTTGTGGTGGGATGGGAGGTTGCAAAGGAAGGAATACTGAAAAGCCTACAAAAAACTAGATGCCTGGACTTCTTAGGGCTCAAAGCAAAGAGAAATTAATACTGAATAAAACTTTCTTTTTGTTACCATATCAACAATGGCTGGCTACTTTGTTATTAATTTCTGGATTTTCTTGTTTGTGTGAAATTTATTTTATATAATCACCTAATTTTTAGTAAAGTAGGGTAAAATTTTCAACAGATTCCATGCTTTATTATTATAAAGACTTGGTCTTTCTTCTACTCAAAGATATATATCATTTATACAGTATTCTTGAAATGTGGGCAGTTACTAGAATATATGCCACCTTTATTGTCAATCTCATAGAGTATAATTGATTTCAATGATCTAAAAAGAAGTCTTTAATCTCATTTGATTTATCACACATGGACAGAATAAAAATTTAAAGCAGAGAACTTAATTAATTAAGCAGAGAACCATAATCCAATAAAAAGAAATTGAAGGCAAGTGATTATAATTATTAATTGGCATGACTTCAATAAATTATAGAAGAAAATTTTAAGGCATTCAAAAATTGTAGTAAGAATGAAGTAGACAATACAAAAGAAGGTAAAGTAAAACAAAAGAAACAGTTTTCAAGGATGGAGGAGGGGAACTAAGGTGCTTACGGGAAATCTCTATAGAAATAAGTATATATTACCTGTCATCATCTTGTGCGAATCGTCTTTGCAAATCTTTTGAATTCCACTGTTCTGTTTTTTTCCTTTCCTGAGTCTTATCTTGTATTTTTTCCTTATCTCCTGATTCTCTGTTTTTTTCATTATTGGAATTTTTTGTTAGATCTTTCCCTTGTTCTTTTTCATTAATTCCTTCTTCCTTCATTTCTTCCTGTTTCTTTTCCTCACGAACTATCTCCTCGTGCATATCCCCTTCTTGCCCACCCTCCTCTATGTCTTTTGATCTTTTGCAGATAACCAAAATTGGAGAAGGCATGCAAACAAACAAACAAAAAAAGAAAGTCAGGAAAAAACATGCATACAGTACACAAAAATAAATTAAAAAGAAAGGAGAATGAAAAAGTAAAACAGGAAAGTATAAATAAAAATTCTGTATTATTTTTAAAGTTGAAAACTTTTGTATTTACCAGAGAAGCACTAAGGGACCAACACTTACTCAGAATGGTTGGTAAATCACATTTTTCCCTCTCATGAGGCTGTATGCAAACAAGGCAAAAGCATATGCAATCTGTGTTATGGATATTATTTTTATCCATGAGGAGTACCTATATTGAATATATTTTTTTCACATAATGTTGGTACAGGCAACTGAAATTTTCATAAATTAGATGTAAAGTATAACTTTCTTATTTCTATTTTAAAGGAATTAATAAAATGTATTTTAAATTCCCTTATAAAAGAGAATTTTTTCATGCATGCATGAAAACCTAGGAGGAGTATGATATAAATCTATTGATAAAAGTACTAAGAACTATCCTAACTTTTTCTGAGTCACTGATATGTGTTCAGTAAGCATTCTAGAAAATTACTTTCTACATTGCTTTCCATTTTCCAAAATTGAAGTCCTCATAGAGCAAATACATGCTAATACAATGTATTACCATATATACAAATACAATTATTTTATTAAAATAGTTAACATGAACAAAAAGTATGGACATTGCCACCATTTCCCCCTGTTCAGTAGGGGAAATTCTTACTGACTTCAAGAAAATTTTCCCCGCCCAAGAAATCTGAAATAAGATCCTAATAGTAATACAAATCATGTCTCCAATGTTCTTTCACCTTATTGCTTGATCTACACATCTTTTAGGAAAGTATAACTTAGCTTTCTTCAAAGGAAAAATGATAATCACCTATAATACATTGAGAAGAGGTTGCCCACATAAGTTCTATTTACTCACCTGATTTTCTTATTTCCTCTTGGTCTTTCTGATTGAACAGACATGTAACTTGTGCTGCTGAAACGAGAGGCACTGCTAGTTCTTGATACAGCTGACACATCACTTACATCACTGTCTGAAGATTTAGTGGAAACATTGTCTGCACCTCGATGAAGATCCCGCCCTGACCGATACTGTTGACACAGATTGACAAAAATATAGAAGTTATAAGCACAAACACAAAGCAATCCTTTGTCTTATTTCAGGACTTAAATTTTCCACAGGAGCACCACTGTTTAGAAAAACTCACTCTGCTGCTGAAGTGAAAAACAATTATTCTAGATAAACAGTTCAATTTATACACAGTTGCTCGTTTCTACAGCTGGCATTAGAACATTTCCAGAATATCTCAATGCTGGCCATTAAGGCTGTTTTTATATTACCATGATATGTGGAGGGAAGGGAGAAGAAAGAAGGAAAGGAAGATTGAGAGGGATTATAAGCATTTTGTTTAATAAAGAAAAATGGAGATTTTTATTTTCATATAAAAATTAAAATAATTATATTATAAAATGTTCAATTGCACTTACAAAAGCAAATGTACTGGCTATCAATTTCTCCGACAATTTGACATCCATCATCATGTTTTAGTGGAAACAATATGATGCCCAGAAATCAAATTATCACATCATCATCTATCCTAAAAACCTTAAGAGATATCTCTAAACTATATCAAAGAATTTAAGATAACTTTAGGCTTAGTAGAAAAGTTCATTATAATTTATAATGAAATTACAATGATCAAATTGATATTTGTTTATGGTAGTATAGTTGCCATTTTCTATAGTAGTCAGGAAATAGAGTTTTTGGATTAATTTTATATTCTAGTCTATAGACAGGGGGAATAAGCATTTATATAGTACCTACTAAGCACCAGGCATTATGCTAATCACTTTACAAATATTATCTCATTTGATCTTCACAACGACTCTTTGCAGTAGGTGCTATTATTATCCCCATTTAACAGAAAGGAAATTGAGGCAAACAGTGGTTAAGTGACTTGCCCAGGGTAACATATCTAGTAAGTTTCTGAGACGAGATTTGAACTACACTTTTCCTGCTTCTAGGCCCAGCACACACTGATAGTTTACTCTTTTCCAAATAAATGGAATATAAAACATGAGTAAAACAAATTTCACTGAACATAATTCAGTTCTGCTTTGATAGTTCAGAGGGACTTAGGAATAATTCAAGAGTCTTTAATAGTATTTATCATTATAACATAACTACACAGAATATAAAGTTCAAATTACCAGGATGATAAGAAATGATAAGCTCTTTGTCTATCTTTTTTGAAAATTGCCATATTGGTAAATTTTATTAAGAGATAAAATGATAGTAATATAAAGTTACTTTGGTTTGAAAACATCATGCTGCACAAAAAATCATACCTTTTCACCTCAAATATCAATGAGCAGCAGCATGGATTAGTGAAGAGTTGATTCTGGAATCAAGTAAACCTGGGTTCAGGTCTTGATACATACTGGTTATGTGACACTGTACAAGCCCCTTAACTTCTTAGTTTTTCCAGGCAGAGAAGGCGCAGATATTCATTGGTAGAGGAAGTTCCTCACCAGAAGTTCCCCACACCAAAACAAAAAACAAAAATAACTTCCCCAAACTACATATATATATATATATATGTATATATATATATATACACACACATACACACATACACATATATGTATACATGCACACAGACGTAGATATATGCACATAAGTGAGCATATATACATATTCATATATAAATGATGTCATATATGTATATATGTATACACACATATACACATATATGATGTCATTATAGTCTTGTATAGTGGGGGAAAAAAAAATAATGGTCCAAGAGTCAGGAAATTGTAGATCGAGCCCCAGGACTATCACTAATTAGCTGTGTGATGTGGGGAAATTCATTTCACTCCTCAGTGTCTGCCTGAATTTATTCATCTGCAAAATGAATGTTATGGCTGAATTTATTAATGGCTATCTGAGTCAACTGGGAACTTAGATTTCATCAGCCTATTTTCCCTTATGGGAAAAATTCCATTTATCATAAAGAATGCAACTAATTTTTCAGAAAATGTCCTTAATCTTCCAGAAGACATTTATACTGTAAATATAGCTTGTAGGTTTGAGTTTTAATGGGAAGTTCCAAACAAAACCTTGTCTTTTTCTCTTCATACAGACAAATTCAGTTTATTACAGGAAAGCATGACAGCAAGAATGGTTCATGCCAACTTGAAGGAATGGATCAAAAATTAGTTTTAAAACAAAACTTTCAATCTTTTCCCTGAATACCACTTCAACAAATATATCCAAATTATGTGAAAGTTTACTTCATTGCTTCTCATAAAGCGGTAATGCATTAAATTAAATGCATTAAAATTTAATGTATGCATTAAATTATATACATTAAAATTTAAAATATTTAATTTACCAAATATGCACAGTAAACAGTCAATCAGAAAGTATTTATTGTATCTACTCTGTGCTAGGTGCTGGGGATATAGATATAAAAACAAAAACTAAATAAACACTCTTTTTACGCCACTTAGGTGACATGTTCACAGATGAATATATTTAAAATAAGTGCAAAATAAATTCAAGTAATTAAATATAAAGCAGTTATGGGGGTCACTAGCATTTGGAGGATCAAGAAATAAAGACTGTCTAGAAGGTGGAGTTTGAGCTGTATCATGAAAAAAGAGAGGGTCTCTGAAGTGGAGGGGGGAAGGAAGTATGGGAAGGGGCATGAGCATGAGCAAGTGAATGAAATGCGTGTGTAAGAGAGAAAGCCAATTTTGGCAGACAACAGAGTATGGGAAGGAGGATGATTCATAATGAAGGTGGAAAGAGGTTAGCACATGTGGTAAAGGGCTTTAAAAGTCAAACAGGACTTCATATTTAATTCTAGAGACAATAGGGAACAACTAGAATTTATTGAGTAGGGAAGCCATATAGTAAAATTTGTGTTTAAGGAAAATCATGAGGAAACATTTAGTAAATCTTGTGAATTTAAATTAAATTTTAGATCATATTTTGTATGTAATATGAAATAAGTAAAGTCAAATGAAGTATGAAGCCATATGTTGAGATAGGTACAAGGTAGGGGGACGTAAACAGCAAGTATATAATAGATTAAATTACTTATAGTATCAATACAATAAATAGTAAAAATTAATTGGCTGAGACATAGCTGGGAAATAATTACATAAATGAAGCGAAGCAAATTGTGGTCAGAAAAAAAGGTGAGGTCTCTGTGTTAGTTTGTAGTTGCTTTAATACTATAAAGTTCCCTCCAAAGAACAACAGAACCAGTTTCAGAATACATATTGGGCCATTTTCTCATTTAGCCAGACACAGTGGCAAATAAAAGTCAAATGCTTACATTGTTAAACATTCAAGCTATTAGTGTTTATTGAAAGCAGCCTTAATGAGTGGGAGAAAAATCAGAGGTACTATAAATCAATCAACAAATATTTGTTAAGTATTTGCTACGTGCCATACATTGTGATAAGCACCAGAGATACAAAGAAATGCCTAAAACAATTCTTGTCCACAAGAACCTTAAATCTAGATGGGGGAGACAATATTTAAATAAATATGTACCTATGAGATACATGCAGAGGAGTTGAAAAGCAATTGTAGAGACAAACGTACTGGGATCTGAAGGAGTGGGGAAGATCAGGAAAGGCTTTCTGGAAGAAGACGATGTTTGAACTGAGTCTTAAAGGAAGCCAGAGAATCTAAGAAGCACAGGTTGGGAGGGAAAGAGAGCATTACAAGTATGGTGCACAACCAGTGCAAAGGCAATGGAGGTGGGGTGCAACAGTATATATACCTGGATTATAGAGTGCAGAGCAGTGAATAAAAGAAAGACAAGTGGAAAGGTAAGAAAAGTCCAGGTCGTAAAAAAGATAATATGATAAAACTATGCAAAATGATATTTAATTGTTATACTCAACTTTCTACATTTTCATAATTCCTATATTTGTTAGTGCTCGTTATTAGTGAAAAAGAACATTGCATCACTATTTCTTCTTCATTTTGCTTGTAAGACTTTACATATTCAAATTAATGATTTTTATTATTATTTTTTTATTTTTAGGCAATTGGGGTTAAGTGACTTGCCCAGGGTCACCCAGCTAGTAAGTGTTTAGTGTTTGGTCTGAGGCTGAATTTGAACACTGGTCCTCCTGACTTCAGGGCCGGTGCTTTATCCACTGTGCCAACTAGCTGCCCCCATGATTCAAATTAAAATAAAAAAGCCACCATAAATTTGTACTCTTTCCAGATTAGTACAGAATGCTGCCTTAAATATAGATTTATATGTTAAAGATAATAGTGACAGTTGAATTAAATTTAACCTATAAAATGGGCCTAGTCATAAGCAATATCGTGACCTTACCTTCTAGAACTGTTAAAGTGACATGCGGAACACTAATTCTTAATATCCTAATAAAAATACTATAAAATACACATATTTTTCACCATAGAATAAGCATGCTACCTAAATTTGTGTTTAAAGCAAACTAATAAGTACTGAATCCTGTTTTACTATTGAATTTCATTTATATGCCTTGGAAATATATTTTGAAAGGAACATTGTCTCTATAAATACATGGAAATTAATATTGGAGTGTTACAAGTAGTTTCTTCCTGTTTTATAATGCTAAAATGGCATTATGACCAATAGCTTTACCCAAGTATTTGCTTTACCTCTCTAATATGGCATGTGGAAAGACAATGCCTTTTGATCTAAGAAGAAAATTAGCTATAATTAGTAACATCCCAATGTAACTTTAGTGTAAGATTGGCACAGACTCTATTCTTGCTATTCTTCTACATAGTGACATCAGGTTGTTCAATCATTCCTGCTAATTCTCCCATTCCTTCACCCCTGTTTTGGGTCTCTTTTCCCTCCTGTCACAACATCAGTCACTCAGTCAATACATATTTATTAAGGACCTACTATGTTCCAGGTACTGTGCTAAGTGTTAGGGGTACAAAGAAAGGCGAAAGACAGGCCCTGACCACAAGGAACTCACAGCTTAATAAGAAAGACAACATACAAATGATTATATAGAGACAAGATATATTCAGGATTAATTGGAGATAATTAACAGAGAGAAGG